GACACTGTCGCCAGTCGTAGCGACTGGCGATCGCCCGTCGCCATGCTATACTCCTCGAGGAGTATGGCGCCTGCCTCAGTGGTCATCATGTCAAATAATCCCCTTACGCGTGGTTTTCAATTTTTTAGTTGTACTGAACGGGCAGTCAGTGGCTCGGAGAATTGCCTTCTGTCACCTTCTGGGAGTGTTGAGTCCTCGACCATGCTTGGGAGATTCAAAAGTTATAAGTTAAAGTTATAGAATTATTGGGTTTCCTTGCATTTTCGGCCTTGTTAACGGCGGGATGGAGATTTTCGCTTACTAGAGCCATCGTCTACCGGATCGATGAGCTGACAGCCACCAATCAGGCTCAACACACATCCATAAGCTGCACGGATTCCGACAAAACCGCGACGACTCAATAAAGAAAATAGTGGGTAGAGGAGCGAAGGCCGCCATTTGGGTAGCCTTTTGCGGCCAAGTGGTCTGGTCCTTTTACAGTTGTTTCATGTCGTTGCAGGACCAGCAGTCCGAAAGTAATCCGTCCGATATATACTCTGACATTCGGTCCGTGCGGCGCGCACGTGCTCCCCGTGCGGCGCCTTGTAGTGCGAGGGAGCCGAACGCTCCGTGCGCGGGGGCCGAACGGTGAATGCGCGCGGGTCGAACGGTGAATGCGCGCGGGCCGAACGGTATCGAAAGCGCTCCGTCCGCAAGCTACTAGAGAATAAGTCTTTCATAGAGCTTCTTTTTCTTCTTTCGTCGGCCGTGAGTATTCTCAACTTCACATCCCAAAAAAATTCCGGATTTGAAAAATTCGAAAATTTGAATTTGAATTTTAGAATTCAAAAATTCAAATTTAGCACCCATTCGGGACGCTGTCGAGGGATAATCTCCGCAGAAGCAAAAAACCTCTTATGTTCCTGCGACTACTCAAATGCCAAGAAATGATAAGTCAGCTTCACAAGTGACGGAGCAGCCTAATACAGCGTCGTAACTCACGCGGGTACCCATTACGCTAATAGCGTGTGAGAATTGGAGGCGCGCGGGCGGCACGGTGAGAACATAGTGCGCGCGGGTCGTACGCTAAGGATTCAAGGCGCGCGGGCCGCACGTACGTGACCCCGCCCGTAGATCTAGGCGCGCGAGCCACACTGCTCGCCATTAACAAGCGCGCGCCGCACACTCAGACAATTATTACGAGCATCCGCGGCCCTTAATAGTGCCTTTTGGTGGCGCGCGGGCGTTGAATTTTAACACTGACCATCCGCGGTCCTTAATTCACTTGCTTGGCGACCCGCGGCTCAATGTTTTCACTAGTTAAGGCCGCGGGTTTTACTTCTTCTACCGGGACACCCGCGGCCCGGGAAAAAAGCGCTCGGGCGGGCCACGGACCTTGTGAAAGCAGTCGCGGGCCTTAATGGGCGCCGTGCTCATCATTTTCGGGCAGGCCCCGGCCCTTCTAGGCAACGGCTTAACAGAATCAGTCTGACCAGCCACGGGCCTTGCCGGACGCCGCAATTTTTACATGCTTTAAGCAAAAACGTTACTCGCGTGAGATACGCCGTGCTGATAGAGGTACCCTCAACGTTTGGGTGCCTTCATACCGCGCCCGCAGCCGCCGCTAGCAGCCCGCAGCAGCCGCCGGCAGCCTGCAGCAGCCGCCAGCAGCCCGTAGCAGCCGCCAGCAGCCCGTAGCAGCCACCAGCAGCCCGTAGCAGCCCGTAGCCGCCGTCGGCCGCTTTTGTCACCATACGCAAAATCATGAGATTATTACTGATTTGATTGTACCCGCCTATGCCTCTCATCCTCTACGCTTTTTTCTTCCTTTTGCCGCCAGTAATTCGATCTAAAAAAATCACAGAAATAGCAACTGAACGCATCCATAGTTGCAAGAAATCACCGCGCGAGTGAATTCAGCGTACTTGAGAAGTAGTAGACTGCAATTTAGATGAGCACCGATAGCAAAGGAATAGAGTGAAGCAGAACCATATTTAGAAATTAACAGATAGCACAAACAGAAACTGGACGCATTAAAAGGGAATCACACAAAAATTCGGCTGTTCTATGGTTCAGTGCAGTAGGAAAATTGATCACCACAAAGATAACCAATCTACGGCAAAAAGATAATGACAAAAATAGACACAAGTATAGCAGTAGCAGCAACAATGTCTAATTTTTGAGGTCGAAATACATACAGTCGGCAACAGGGAGAAAAAAGCGTGGAAGATCAAAAGCAAAGGCGGGTGCATCAAATTGGTAAGAATCTGATGATTTTGCGTATGGTGACAAAAGCGGCCAACGGCGGCTACGGGCTGCTACGGGCTGCTGGTGGCTGCTACGGGCTGCTGGCGGCTGCTACGGGCTGCTGGCGGCTGCTACGGGCTGCGGGCGGCTGCTGCGGGCTGCTGGCGGCTGCTACGGGCCGCTGGCGGCTGCTGCGGGCTGCTAGCGGCGGCTGCGGGCGCGGTATGAAGGCACCCTTTATGCCATTGCTTATCGTTTCTCGGTATGTGGCTAGTAGCAAAGACGGTCTGTTGAGGTATCCTCCCCCAGGGAGGTTCACCTGAAGTTGGAACCGAGAACAGAACAGATTTGGCAGTCGTTGCAACTTTCAACTACAGTATAGGGCCGCCATTTACAGGGTATTCGTGTCGGGACCTTTAGTGTCTCAGTCCTTCGAGAATGAAGTTTTGCACGGCGCCATCCGCCAGCAGCTATTCCTACCCGGCGTAGGAGGTTCCGCCGAAGTAGTTTACTAAGAGTCGCGCAGGCGGAGACATATCATCCCTGTGTGACATCAGCCCAAATCACTCGGCCCAGACGTGCTCGCAAAAAGTTGTGATCAGGAAGTAAAGTTGTAGCGGCATATAGACCGAAGCCGCCACTGAATCTTGATGCTTTGCTTTGATGTTTGGCTAGTGGTCAAATATCTGCATGTTCTTAGTGAAGTCACTTTCTCTTTTTTCAAGTCGTTGTGTGAGGGTTTACATCCAATGAGGTCAAAACAAATGGTCAATACTATAGATACTAGCAGGTGCTGGTGAGTTGTTTTATTTAGCGTTGTGTTTGACTTCATAAAATCTGAAGTGAGTTGCAGACAACTGGTGCATCCCTCAAAACTGTTCCATAGGTACTATTCGTGGCTGCCTTTCAATCGTTTTAACACGTTGACTCTAGCAAATTTGAGCGCTTATCCGAACTTTACATGTTAGAACGAAGGAAGGGCAGTTACTACGTTGATAGTATCCAGGGGAACAATTCCGAGGGATGTACAATACAATGGGCATCTCTTGTTGATTTAGCTGTGCAAGAATTTATCAAAACTTATCGAATCTTGTCACTTGCAGTAGATGTAAGCTCTTTCATTAAAAAGTTTGCTGGTTTCCGGTAACATCAGCAAGGGGAATAAGAGTTTTGACGATAAAATTATCCATCAAGTACTGATATTGGGATGCGATGTGAACGAACTTCTCTTTATGTCTAACGAGAACCACAATGTATAAGCGAGAACAGTATGCTACATCAATAGAGATTTATGGCTTATGCTGTAAAAGAGTTCTGCAGAATACCAGTCCAGAATCACTGGCAAACTTATTTGTATAATATTTCAGAGCAATTGATAGTAGCGTAGAGCCAAAGCGAGCTAATAATCAATTACACAGCGATCCATGATGTTAAACCTATCGCTATATCCTCAACAATGCCTCAAGCCACTACTAGTTTGGTTGACAAGCCAACAAAATTGTTTGTTGAGAAAGGATGCTATGGTTGGGCTGTTACATATGCTCTTATAGAACAGTCTCTCGAGTTCTCATTTAGTTCTGTAATCATCTCACCTGATTACAAGTACAATTTTGAACCATCTTGTATGCTATTGACGCTCGTCATAAAGAGGTGACTTCGTGTTTAGGAAGTCTGATCAGTGATAGCATGTCCGAAACGTCTTTGCTCCTACCTAGGTAAAAAAGCAAGACTCGGAAAACGAGTAATCTTCTCAAATCCTGGAATATCGTTCAACTTTACTTTGTCATCGCTCTAGGTTAGTGTCTTAGTGTGCGTATACCAGACCCAACTTTCACAATCCTTGTACTTGCTCCTTTTGTGACCTATAAAGCACAAAAGCCCTCATCAGCAAGTTTGATCCGTTCGAAAACGACTGAAGACAAAGTCTCCGAACTGGCTGACACGCAAAAGTCCCGCCACGAATACCCTGTACATGGCGCCAGAATACTGCAGTTGAAAATTGCAACGACTGCCAAATCTGTTCTGTGAACCGAGACCCCACGAGGGAAGACAAGTTTTGACGCATACCCTGACGCATGTGCGAGGGCGAGGAGAATGGAAACAGATGTTCCAAAAATGGAATAAATGTACATTGTACTGCATTTAGCAACTGCGTATCGGGCCACCCGCGGATGCATATCGCGCATCAGTCGGGTGCTTGTCTGGACATCCGCGGGCGTCTTTCGAGCGCTTACCGGCGCATCCGCGGGTAACTCTCGGCTGCTTAGCGTGCGTTTACTCTACCACTCGCGGCATGGATGAAACGTCGGCGCGGGCCCTTCCGCGGGTGGTCGCGATAATTGTCTGAGCGGACCGAATGTCAGAGTAGTCCCTCTCGCATGGAAACTACGCACGCAATGCAAGGACCCCACGCATGGTCCTTCAGTCGATGTGGCCCATTTGAATGCCGGAATAATACGCGCGCGAACATGGCGCAAAGCTCATTGCGTTTACGGAAAAAGGAGCATGTAATTGACACGGAGTGAAGCTAGCGAGTTATAGCGCGGACAATTCAACACCGTGCTGTATAGCACCCACGATCTTGTACGCACTGCTTTTCACTGCTGGAGATTACAAAGCATGGCGCTCAGATTGCGTGTTTGTCTACAACTACGGATTGCGTTACGAGTTTCCGTGCGCAGGTGAAGGAATACAGAAATGCACACAAGTGTGATCTGGCATTCACCCACCCTCGGCATATTATTAAACGATACTATCTTGAGAAAAAAACGTACATGTGGTCGCCAAGCATTTGGATCTTCCGTAGTCGCATCGGCTTTCTTCTCCGTTTCCTCTGATTTTCCGCTGAACGATGAAAATCACCGCAGTCCAAACAAAGACATGCACTAACTCACTTCTCAACTTCTGGAGCTTTTTCTTTCGCCGCGTCTTCTGCTTTCACTGGAGCTGGAGCATTAGCAGGAACTTCAGGTTTCACTTCTGTGCCGCCCGTCTGAAAATAATTCCCAATAGTAGCTAGAGCTCTCGCATAAAATGCATAATCCAATGATCTAAATTCCTAACCGCTGGAGCATCTTTCTCAATGATCACAACATCTGCCCATTCGTTCGCATCAGTCATTTTCGTGGTATCGCAAACTGATGCCTACAATAGCATGAATTAAAGATGCTTATGCATCAAAGTTAGTACCAATCAAGACGAAAGTATGAATTCGAGACAGTTGGACGCATGAAGGAATGTGGATAAAAACTTGCACTGGCCGTACATCAACATACCTTGAGGATATCTCGAAGCGCACACCCGTAGTTACAACGCACAAGATATGTTTGATCTCAAGGGTAAAATATACATTGAGTTATGAATACCGCATTAGCTCTAGGTATGTTTTACCCTTAAGATACGTTCGTGAATAAGGGTCAATGGCTTTCTGGAGTTGATTTATACCTCAAGGTATGTTTTGGCCTTAAGGTCAAACAAAACTCGTGCGTTGCGAATACAAAGCTCTCGCAAAGTATAATTTAACAAGATGGTATGTTGATGAATAACAGTATAACATGGGTTGTGATGCGATTAACGAGCGAGGGCTAATCAGAGATGTTGGAATACAAAGAGACAATTGCCACGCATCGCGATATCTTCCGCCCAAACCGGTGCGACTACGTGGATTGATAGATACTAATGATGTTAATTGAACAATATACAACGATGCCGATCGTTAAATTATTGATTGACAATATCGAATTTGTTAGAGAAATCGCTATGATGCTATATATGCTATGTATACACTGCTTTGATTGACTATCTGGAATGTGTGCTAAAATTGGATTTTGAGGATTTGCAGGATTTTGAGTTTATCGGTCTTGCTCCTCGAAATTACAGAGTTGGAATCCACTATCTGCTATGGGATTGACAGCCTGAAACTGCCTCGGATTTGTCCTCACAAATATTGGGAAGTATCCAACGAAATCACTTGCAATGAATTCTAGCTCACTCTTCCTCAGATTCTTTTCAGAGAAACGTCATGACGATAATGCGGGAAGAAATACAAACAACACATAGCACCAGTCCCAGAAAGAGTGGGGATTTCTACACGAAGAGAAGTTTATGTGCTAGCCTACAGGAAACGTTAAAAAACAACAACGATCCCCAGATCGAAGCGTCGCCGCTTGACCCGAATATGCCGTAAACATATTGCAGAATATCATCGTTACCGTTCCGCCCACGTCTCCGTGTAAATTGTTGGCTTTACTTCTTCCTTTTCATTTTTTTTTTTGAAAGCATTAGTTTGCCTTTCATGTATTGGCATAAGTTGTGGTTTTTCATCGAAGTACATTGAGTTGTCGTGAGGTAGTTTCTGTCTATCTAGGAATGGATGAAGACAATTTGTTTGGTGGTGATCTGAGCGAAAGCAGCAGCGATGAGGAGACTGAAACGGAAAACTCAAACGCTCCACCTCAAGCCTCTGCTTCTGTAAAGGAGGAACAAGGCACTGTCAAAGAAGAGAAGTAACACAGCCTTAGTACTTCAAATTATCTTGATTCTTTGTGATTTTCCAGAAAAGACCCCTTGAGACCAAAAGTGAGCTTTTCACTAGCAGACGATGAAGAATCCAACGATGGCATATCCATCTTCAGCGGCTTGGGTGACAGCGGGGCGCTAAATTTACCCGTCAGCAAAGCTACAAAAAGAAAGGTTTGTCAGCTTATAATCAAAATCTACAAATCGTGGTGTAAAGCTCATACCAGTGGTAAAAATTTGGTAGACAATTTCACATTGCGCTTTTTCCTTTGAGATTCAGTTTCTTCACCATTTTTTTACTTATCTACCTGAATCTGTTTCTGATCGAGAATTAAGATTGTATCTCAAAAGGAAGTAGTTTTAATTTAGAATTCGCGTAGCCGTTCGTGATTCGCTGCAGAAATTAGTGTTTGCTGTACATTCACTGCAGTCAAACTTATCGGCACGCACATTATGCTACGGCGGTAATCACAAGCTTGGGTAATTGAACCACCATCAAAAATATGAACGTACAGCAGCAACATTATATTATGTTTGGACAAGAGCGAGTATTGAATAGCATGAAAAGGGTTAGTCCAGTACCTTGGATACATTGTTCAACTGCATTAGCACGGAGCGAGTGCGCGAGTCAAAAGTCAGAGTAGTAGAAACAGACAAATCGTGCAAAACGAAAATTTAAGAAACTTATTGCAATGGCTGCCTTGCGTCGTCTTTTTACTCTTGTTCATGTTCCATCGTCGCCTTTTGTAAAAGATGAGGGTGCACGATAAGAGCTAGCTGTGCAGGAAATATCTCGCTTACGACGTGAAAATCACTTGTATATGGAAGAGTCAAATGTAATCCTAGCTCTCTTCAGTGCCGCTTATAAGGAGCATTGTGCTAATTTATACCAACATTTAGGCCCCTTCACCTTCGCCGTCGAACACGGAAGCAAAGCGTGTTAAATCAGAAGGTCATCTGACCGAATCCACGTCGACAGCAGACTTTCAGGAGGCTTTGAGCTTGCTAAATGATCCGACTGGAGGTCGTTATCCATGACATTCTTTTCTACACTTAGCGATTGCATTTCAGATACGTTTGCTGCTCCAACAGCTCCAGCTCCTAGAAAAACAAAGGATAAAAGCAAGCTTGGTGTTGTGAAGGTAGGTATAACTTGGTGTTTTCGAACTATTTGTGCTTATTCTTCTGTTTGTTGTTTTCACAGCATATACATGGAAGAAAACATTGCCTATTTTCAACTTCTCACTGAATGATTGCTTGTAAAAGAAGTACTATTGTTATATGTCAAGATGGCACGTTCATTTCTTTCAGAAGGAGAAAGATGTACGATTTGCCTCCGATGTTGTCCAAAACGAGAAACCATCAACTAGTCAACAGAAACCATCGGAGAGCTCGACTTCTAAAACAGAAAATGATGAAGTATGAAATATCATAATAATAATATCTCTCCCTTGGGTTCAGTAGGAAGTTAAATCGCAAGCATTTTTAGGAAGACTCGCTGCCAATCAAGCCTCTCAACGAAGAGGATGAGCTATTGCGTCTCAAAATGCAGGTTGGGGTATCTGAGCATCAAAATATATTGTTTAATTTTGCATTGTAGATTCTCATCTCAAATTTTTCTCAAGAGCAGTTGAACAGATACGAGATGTACAGAAGGTAAGTTTTTTTCAATTCGTTCCCGTTTTTTCGTTGAATCTATACGGTCATCAAAATTAGTGATATGGGTATCGTGATCACCTGGATAATCGTTTAAAGCTAATTTAAAGTATTATGGTATAAGTGGTAAACAGCTATCGGTGAGGAATCCGGCATGCTCTGACAGAAAGTTCTGAAGAATGGTGAAGGGAGTTCGTTATCATGCTACAGAGTCGTTGCTACAGGTATCGATAACATTTTGAACTCTTATCACATCTATGTCAGATCTTCATTCCCCAAATCCACCATTCGTCGTCTTATTCACCAGTACACGGGGGTTAACGTTGGTCAAAATGTTGTTATCGCGGTTGCTGGGCTTGCTAAGGTATGTTTATGCTTTTTTCATCTGGTGTACAACCTTTTATGCTCCGCTTTTCCGCTCCAGGTGTTTGCATGCGAACTGGTGGAAGAAGCACTCGATATCCAGGAGAAAATGAGAGAGTCGGGAGAACCTTTGAAACCGAATCATCTTCGTCTAGCATACTATTCACTGGAGCGACAAGGAAAAATATTTCCGCAAAACAGCCAGCGAAGAAATCCTTTCCTGTGATCACTCTACCTCATCGACTGTTGTTCATAGTGATTGCTGTTTCATTTTTCTTATATGTAACATAAGATAATGTACATATCTCTGTTTTTTTAATACTGGATTAGAGTGTTTTTATCTCGAGACGTTATAAATCTGAGCTGCCATTTCATTCTCAAATTTGAAAACAACGTTTTATCGTTGGATTTATCTTTTTCTTTTTTTGACAGGTGCTTGAATTTTAGCTGTTCTCCTGAAATTTCTAAAAATCACTCTCTTAGCAAATTCAGATGAGCGGCACGCCATACAGTGGCGTTCCAACAATTCCCCCACCACAGTTCAGCACTTTTGCAACTGTGATTGATCCACCTCGGCCATTGCCAGATTTCGTTGCGAACCCGCTCGTTCATGCACCCGCTCCTACTGCCGAACCGCACACCGTATGCGTTTACCTGATCTTCTCAGCTTTTTGTACTTTCTGTACTTCACTTTCTCAGGTCGTTGTACCATATCCCACTGTAGACGCTCAAGCCGACCTTCCTCCAAAGCCCGATTTAGGAGAGTCAAAACCTAGCACGGTTCAAGAATCGTTTGCGATTCCATCCACTGAAAAGGTGCTTGATTTGGTTAATTTTTCATTTCTTTTGAGTCTTTCTAACATCGTCCAAATTTTGCTACAGTGCATGATAGACTCTAGTTTTGAAAATATGGTCAATGTCAACATCATTTGATAGGGTTTTTCTTCTAAATTTTGTCATTCAGAAATCGGCGGATACCAATCAGGCTGCGACTGATACGTCGTCTCACCATAAAAAGACTCATAAGCTACCTTTAGCACCTACTTCTTCTAAAGGATACGTTGCCAAACGAACTTTCAAGGTATAAAGTCTTTTTTTGCATGTTTTAAGTCATTTGTATCTCTAGGTCATTATCGTTGGTGACGCCGGGGTGGGCAAAACATGTCTTTCATTTCGATTTTGTTGTGGTAGATTTCCGGAGCATACGGAAGCTACCATAGGTGTAGACTTTCGAGAGCGAAGCTGTGTGATAGAGAAGGAATTGTTGAAGGTAAGCTTTGTTCCAATGTGACGGCAGACGGTGCATGATTTGTGGTTTTGTAGGTGCAATTATGGGACACCGCTGGTCAGGAGAGGTACAGACATTCCATCGTTGCACATTATTATCGGAATGTCAATGCCGTTGTGTTTGTCTACGATGTGACTAGGTGATTTTATGTGTTTTCAGAATTTCGGATTGGTATTGTAGGAGTGGTGTAACATAACTCATGCTCCCAAACATCTGTTTTTTACATTGGTCAATCGAACTTATTCCCTTTTCGTTCTAAGCTTCTTTATCCCTTGTGCTATGCATGAAATCTATCTCAAAAGGTATCTCAAATGTATATTTGAATGCATCTCATAAATCCTGTGTTTCAGGCGAAAAACAGCTAACACTACCATTGTTTTGTGAAGAAGCCTGCTCTTTTTCAGCCCATCTTCTTTCGCTTCTCTACGTTCGTGGATCAACGAGTGCGAGAAAAATGGCCTAACCGCTGAGTCCGATGTGCCTCGGATTTTAATTGGCAACAAGTGCGATCTGAAGGCAACAAACCCTCAGCGTGTTGACACCGATGCTGCTCAGGTTGGTTTTGATTTGTTATAGAGTTTCACGTTTTCGTGTGCAGACGTTATGCGAGGCTCTGAAAATGCTAAGCAGACTTATATGGCGTGATCATGATTTTCATTTGATGGTTGTTTTATGCATAAAAAAACATTTTCATTCCCATGTAAAAGCACTCACTTGCGTATTAAGCGGGCTCGCCCACTTGCAAAGAATGCTTTGGCATTATGAGGGTGAGACTAGCGTAGACGTCTTGGGGTCAGACTTTTGGTTCATATCGTTATTGCAATTGTGCTGGATAGAATACTTATGTGCCTTTCAGATATTTGCTGATCATAACAATATGGCATTGTTCGAGACTTCTGCTAAAGCTGACTCTGAGGCGGATCACGTGGAGTCCATATTTCTTACTCTCTTACATAAATTGCAACAGAGTAAACCCATGCATGTGCAAAGTGAAGTTGAACGACATGCAAAGGTTGGTTTTTTAAAAATATTTTTTGTAGATTCTGCATTCGACAAACATTTTTGCACCCCCCCCCCCCCACCTCCCTCCTCTCAAGAAATACTTCTGAAACCGCGACTGTTGTGTTTCAATTATTGAGCTTCCTCGAGCAGATTGATAAGGTCGAAAAATCAATAGCAGTCTTGTTGAAGGGTGGTCGTGAGATTTCCTGCATTTGTTTAAAACCTGTGAACAAAAAAAAAACCTGCAGAGTAAGAGCAATTCGATGTATAGACGACAATGTTAGTTATCCTATTCCAAGCATTTCCGTTGATTCGTGTCCGATCACCTTTTTATATAAATTATGCAGATATGCCAAGAGAAAGGTCAAAATATTATAGACGGGCTGTTAGCTAAGTTTTGCCACTCCTGTAACTTTTCGCTTTTTGATTTTGGCGGGCTTTTTCTCTATACTATGTAGAGTGTAGTGCGGGCTAGAAATTAGCAAACCGCTCCTTTTCTAGTGACAAAATAGAAAAAATTCAGTCGGTTTTGGAGAGCAAGTGAAATTCGAGGATTTATGGGATAAGCAAAAATAAAGCCATTTGCAACCTAGATCACGCACATCGATCCAACATCATACACAGATTGTTGGTAGAGTTTATTTCACTCAATAAAGAAGAAATGAAATTTGAAAGTAAGTCGAGATCTGACGCTTTCGCGAAGTTGCTAGAGTCGCTGTACGCAAGGCTGCTGAGGGGTTGGAATACCGGAGTCTCAGAATTCACCGAAACTTGGCATAAGAGGGTTACTTGACTAAATGAACACAAATATAATATTCACTTTTCATAACCCCTCTTTTCGTGTTTAGGGGAAAACCCTATACCGTAAAACTACCGTAGTCTTACAAAAAAGGCTGTACCACGCATGCAAATATAGTACTGTTTTCATGATCAGCATGTGGAATAACCCCTCTATGCCTAGTTCTAACCAAATTTGTGATGATCTAATAATTTTCCCCTTATAAAATATACTTGCTTAAACCTTCACTACGACGTCAGAATTCAGCAGAATGGTAGCTGCGCTTATAGCTTGAGGCTTACATAATGCAAAATTTGAGCGTGTCATGCTCAAACAGAAATAAGTCAAAAAGAAAGTTGCAAATCTTAGTTAACAGCCTAATATCTGAGAGAAATCAATAATTTTGGTCATGTGAGATTTGTTCGTTGTGCTAGCGCACGTGAATCCATTCCAGCTCTAGAACAAATGGGAAGAAAAGAATAACGAAGAGCCATGGACTCCACACTTGAATTAGAGTGTTATGTACTTCGAAAGTATTTGGTGACACATTTATAAAAGCAAGATACTTAGGGCAATTTTCATGAAAGGATATAAGGACAACCATTGTAAACATTCAATTCTTTGAATTCTGAAAAGGTTAGAAAATTTTTGTAAACGATTTTTCAGCCATTTCGTCAGTACTTTCCCCAGTCCGATACGGGCCTTGAAAGTGGACAGGTGACTGATAACATCAAACGTTTGGTCAACCACTTGCTTTTTAGGGAACTTTTAGGGGTTTTTTGTATGAGTTTCACTTTTTTCAGTGGCAAACGCAAATTTTGCACATGATGGGAATGGGTCTTTTTCAACTTGCGCTTCTTTTTCTCATTACATTCAGATTCAGGAACAGGAGAGGCTCGTCCTGAAGGCCAGCGAAGCGAACAGTCTCAATGAGGAAGGATGGTGTTGTTGAGGCCATGGTAAAATCTTGGCATGGTATATTTTAGAGCATTTATCAAGTTTATGTGATAAATTTCGCAGCTGATTTGTTTTGGTGTGCGTTCTCTAATCTTTTTGTGCTCTATTGTCATGTATACCGTGCTAACATTGTAGTCTTTGCATGTTTGATTAGCTTATATGACTTTCGAATGAGCGAATCAATGATAACGGATATTATGGGTGAGTGTTAGTGGGTAGAAAAATCCGCTAGAGGATGCATTCATTGCCTTACTACTGACGTCGTTTTCCTTCAAAACTCAAAGCTTACCGCAAAGAGAAGCTAGTTTGCGTAACTCTTCAGAAGCACTTTGTGGGCTGTGATTCTGTCGCTCTTCTCTTTTCCATCTGATTGTGAGCGTAGTAGATCATTGTTTTATTTATCCTTCCACATTTTGTTTTTTTTGCTCGCGCACTGTGATCGATGGTTTCTCGGTGATGATACTAATATATAATTTATTGGAATCGTAAAACAACATAAAACAGTTGTACTTACATGGATACGTACATGAATCTTGAAGACTACAAATGAGGCACATAGCATGAAAGAATGGCAAAACGAGGTTCTAGGAACACAAAGTATCCAAAAAATCAAAACCAAGATGCCTAAAGTACAAGCTAAGAGGTCGTATGGTAGAATCGTGTTATTTCCATGAAGATTCAACCGTTTTGGTACTGGACCTGGAATAGGAATTTGTATTAAACAAGCAATGATCAGCTTTTGGGGGAATACATGAAGCCAGCTTATCCATATTTTCGCTGCACTAGCAAGCTAGCGTTTTTTTTTTTTTTGAAAATGAAACTTGTGATTAAACTTTGTTAGGAAAGGTTGGTATTGAGAACTCTTCTCCTTTTGTTGAATGTGGTTGTTAACTATGGAAATTGCGATCAACAACAGAAAGCGAGCTCGTTATTTCCAGTCCAACGTGCTGTGATATTATTTTTGAAATTTTCAATTGAAAAGAGCGTTTGGAATTTTGGACAGCTGCAGCAGCAATATATTAGGTTGTCCGGAAATTGCAGGTTTTGAGTTTCAACCGCAATAAGTCATACACTTCTGATTTCTAATTCGGTTGCAAAGCACCATTCGATAGAACAAAGCAAGTTCTGCAAGATGGCAATCTTGCTTTAGCAACAGCTCTGATCCACCACGAGTTTCGAGCCAGAAACTAAAAAGATTCAACTGCCCGAAAAATTGAGAAAAATCGTAACTCACTTCATAAAAATTCTGCAAAAATTCTAATTCGCTCACGTAAACCAATCCACATAAGACATCTATATACTCCGTTGCCGTAATTTTTTCTCTGTAAGGAATCAAGAAAACGGAAATTTTCATGCATTTGCCAAAGTGGTGCTGTGCCGCCCCCACATAAGTAGTTGACTACAAAACTGTAGATGTACAATACAAACGTAAATTTTCAGCTCTCTACCGGCTATAGTTCTCGAGAAATATCGAGTATAGCTTTCTCTAGTCAGGTGGTCCAAGCTAAATCTCAAATTCTTTGAGGACTAGAGCTGGTAGAGAGCTGAAAATTTACGTTTGTACTTTTACAGGTTTGTTGTATACAACTACTTGTGTGGGGGCGGCAAAGCACCACTTTGGCAAATGCATGAAAATTTCCGTCTTTTGATTTCTAACAGAGAAAAAATACCGCAACGGCGTATATGGATGTCTTATGTGAATTGAGTTTACGTGAGCAGTTAGAATTTTTGCAGAATTTTTATGAAGTGAGTTACGATTTTTCTCAATTTTTCGGGCAGTTGAATCTTCTTAGTTTCTGGCTCGAAAATCTGGTGGATCAGAGCTGTTGCTAAAGCAAGATTGCCATCTTGCAGAACTTGCTTTGCTCTATAGAATAGTGCTTTGCAACCCATTTAGAAATCAGAAGTGTATGACTTGTTGCGGTTGAAATTCAAAATTTGCATTAATTTCCAGACAAAAAAATGAAAAAATAGCGCCAAATGTTCGGCGGATATTCGTATTCATGGTTGGTAGACTGAGTCGCGCACAATCTACTAGCTAACCTCTCTTATAAGGTCATTCCATACCATAACATCCCTTATTTCTTTCACCTATCATATGGTAAGATCATGTATAAATGCTGTGACGTGGAATATCTCTCCCTATCGAATAAATGATAACCTGGAACTACGAAGGCATCCTGCGCAGCGGAAGGGCTCACACTACCAAATGCGACATCAGCAATCGGCTCGACTCCTGTTTGATTAGGATTCTAAATTTCTTTACCGACTGGTTACGTTAGTAAGCTTTCTGCCCGTTAGTAAAGTTGTGAAGCAGTCTAGCAGGCGTGTGTTAGAATAACGTTTTGTTAGGTACAGTAGCCGCTTCATTGTCAAGCATTGCTGTAAGCATCAACACACAAGGAAATGGTCAAGATACGAAGTGGCCAATCCCAGCAAGCCGTATACCAATGAACACTCCATGGAGCCTGGTCACATATCCGCCTTCGATATCTGCTTATCGGTCTCCTACACAAAGTTATGGCCCTCGCTTTCGACATGGCGCCCCTGCGTGTGGTAAATACTCGCCGCCCACTTACGAGTCAAGTTGGGCGCATAGCGCGGAGGTAAATGTGCTGACCAGAGTCAAGCGTGAGGTGTGGTGTGGCAGGCCACAGCTGGGGTCATAGAGAGGTCAGGAAGATGGGGGGGGGGGGGAGGGGGTTGTTATCAAGTTGATAGTGATATTAGCGGCATGATGTCAGTCAGTCATGTCTAATAGCCCCTGTGCAAGATACTAGCACTGGTGTTTTGGGCAGTTTCAGCGAATTTTGAGGTTTTCAAATATTGAGACACTCAAGCGAGGTGGTATTTTCTAAGGAGGGCGTGCAGGAGTTCCTAGCACCTTTCCTCGCACCAAGTTCGCACCAGCATTCGCACCCAGGAGGGTTCTAGTACCTCCGCGCTTCAGAGGTCAGGTCACGCCCATTGCTCCACCCATTTACTGGTCTCATTGTGAGGTGTGCAAGCAGCGAGAGCACAGACTCAGTATATAAGTAATAAGGGAAGAAAATTGGAGAAAAAACGAAGAACATAATTATCATTCCTCCAGTGGAACTTCTGCTACACCATCATTTTAAAATGAGCAGGTGAACATTATTTTCAGAAGATAAATTGCACAGAACTTTGAATGAAATCCGGTCATTCGAAATATCAGAGAATCTAGTTGATCAATTATAAATTTCTGGTCATTTGATTGAAATAATTTAGTATCAGGGGTTGAATAATGAGTGACTACGAGTGGTGTAGAACCCTATTACCTAATATTAGAACTATCTATTTGGAAAGGAGTATATAGAAGTTCTCGAATAAGCAACTCAATGCTTTTCCCAGTAGTTAGGATACTGAACATATGTATATACTCTCCTACTTTCGTCTGCCATCATAAATGTTCAATGAGTTTTTCATTCCAGTTACTACAATGATCAGTAAGATTGTGATTATCAAAAACCAATATATAGGTGTAGTATTTCCATGTACTAGAATACTAGACTTCTGGCGCATGTTTGACTGAAGAGTTGGCCAAGAGTTCCAAATACGACACTAAATTTGCAACTTATTTTTATTTGCTACTAGATGGCAAACCCGGCTCCGCCCGGGGCCAAACTTTGCACACATACACTTCGGGGCAGGGAGCGTGTCATAGTCCACTTTTCGTTATCGATCGATGTCGATTTCACCGACTTTTTGCAAATTTTGAGCTACGGGGCTGGGATTTTGCACAGGGGGGTAATCGAACATGCTGATCACCCCCACGGGGGTGATCAGCATGTTCGATTACCCCCCTGTGCAAAATCCCAGCCCCCTAGCTCAAATTTTGCAAAAAATCGATAAAATCGATATCGATCGATGACGAAAGGTAGCCTATGACACCCGCCGGGGCCCGAAGTATATGTGTGCCAAGTTTGGTCCCGATCGGTTCAGAAATAAAAATTTCTATTCCGCACATACGTACAGACAGACAGACATACATACATACATACAGACAGACATTCAGCTTTATATATAAGATAATTCTTGGATGAACTTTAGAACTTGCGGTAATTGATTAACTTCTCTGTTATATACTACGATTGGAAGAATCATAACTTCTGCTTGATTTATATTAATACGATGTGTTTCACAAATTTACTCTAGCGCGAGCACCTACAAAATTTTGAGAAAGCGTCATTTTATCCGAAAACGTGAGTGAAAGCTAACTCAAAATGCTGGAAAGTTAGCTGCAGTCATGTACGAATCCTAGATCCTTAGCCTGAAGGACTTTTTTGTTTCTCAATTCCAGTGCTATCATCTTCAAAAACAATACACGTCTTATAGTGCATGTACTCGTTCATAACAAGGGCAGCTAGAGGGAGTGATGGGCGGAGCCGCCCGAGCCAGAAAATATGTGATGTCCTCTCAGAGATTTCTGGAGGCGTCAAGTATTCCTGCGAGGAAAAGCGGCTAGGCTTTGGGAACTTCTGCCACGCCGCCATTTTCGAACATGTTAACTTTGTTCCAAAGGTGAATGAACTACTTCTTTTTGCACTCATCACAAAATACTACTACTTTTTTGCTCACATCAAAAACCCGCATGAAGTAGCCCCCAGGCTGTGGATCAAAAGCAAGCCAAAATATCGTTTGTCTTATTTTTCGCTTTCAATATCTCAAATTAGAGAAGACCAATCGGGTTCATATCACTTTTGTGAAGGTTAAGCGGATCAGGCTATCGAGCATACTTGTTCTTGCCGCCCTCCTCGCGATTCACGTAGTAGCATAGACTTAAAGGCAGTGGATCGGCAAAATCCAACAATTCGGGGTTTTAACGCGTTAGGTTCCTCTTATCGCCCAAGTATGAAACAGTGCAATCCCGGTTGCACAGCATGCTTTCCCTGCCGAGAAAATCGCTCTCAAACTTACATGCGCAGGCCAATCTTACACGCATCTGGACGAGCTGGCAATTTCCTTCTCACCATTGGAGGCTGCCCGCCGCAACGCTATAACCATTGGGTACTGCAACGGTTTAGCGTCATCGGCCTTGCTCCACTCGTCCAATTCCAAAGGGAAGGGCATTAAAAACGCTTGTTTTCGCCGTTTTCAAGCTTTCAAAAGTGGATTTTCGAGACCAGCGTATTGAATAACCCCAGGTAAACGCATATTTGACTAGGTTGAGATTTGCCGAGCCACTGCCTTTAAAGGCAGCATCCAGGCAGATCTGGACCTATGGAGAATTTACGTGGAAAGTACTTTTGGGGCCCTAACTAAGGCACTGTCCAAGTGGCAGTGCAGGTAGTGCTCTAACGGCTGAGATATTCCCCTCGAAACTGGATCCCGCGATCGTATTCGCATGGATTCATGGCAGATTCGCGCCAGGATACACGCCTTGCGCCATGAATCCAATGAATCCAATAATCTATGCTATGAGAATAAAGTGCGAGTATTCATCAAATCTTAGAGGAAAAGGGGGAATTGATGAGTTTTTTATTTGAACAATTGGGTAACTTATCAATTTGAGTCTGTACTTGAAGGCAGCGTCCGGGTAATTCCGGACCTGTGGGGATTTTACTTGGAAGTGATTTTGGGGCCCTAACTAGAGCAAGCCCAAGCGGCAGCGCAGGTAATATCTGCTCCAGGACGAAGGCGGTCGCCCAAATAGGATGAAAGCATGCAAGGCTGCTGCG